TCTGTGGAGTAAGATTTCAAAAGTCTGAAGTTACTGTATCCTTGAATGCGTCCCACTTGTAAGCAAAAATTGAATCACTTCCCTTATAGAAATATCATATTAAAAATCATTGATAATTACTTATTTTCAGTGTTAAAAATACTGGATAATAAGTAATTATCAATGATTCTTAGTATGATATTTCTATAAGGGCTCCTAACGTCAAATATCAGAGTAAGATGTGTCACTGCGAGTGTGACGACAGATTGACGTAACAAATCGAGAACAGGTTCGTAACATTGATATTTACTGTCATCAATGCTTTCGACGGATGTACTTGATGTTTTTTATTACTTTGTCATATAGCCTCCCTTATAGAAATATCATACTAAGAATCATTGATAATTACTTATTATCCAGTATTTTTAATACTGAAAATAAGTAATTATCAATGATTCTTAAGATGATATTTCTATAAAGGTTACTGACCTATATTCCTCTTATTTTTTAGCAAACAGGATGTTTTACTTACGTTTGCCTCTGCAAGTATGGTTATTGGTATTTTATCAGAGATAGTGAACTTTTCCCAAAAATTGACAATCAGTACTTGAAGGAGATAACTACAGTAAAATGAAAAATAAAAATCATATAAAATTAATGTACTATTATTATTGTTTGAATTATTATTATTCATGAATTTTTTGGTATGCAATATTATTTTATAACGTTTAAAAGATTTTTGTAACATTAGAAATGCTTGACAATTCCAGGAAATAATTGTATCTATAAATAAATATACTAATTACGAATTGTAAATAATAAGTTATTTTGATCAGAACATTAACTATTATTTATTTTATCGTTTTTTGTTAATCGTTTTTTACTTTGAAACTTGCTTTTTTTAATGATTCCTTTCCTTAATTATTCCTATTATAAATGTTTATTATGCGTAAAGAGTTAGTAACGGTTTTCGAATTTAAGCTTTTTTAAATCAAATATTGCGCTCGTTATGAATTCATAGCGATTCATTGTTTTTCGCAATTGTCATTTTGCTTTTTCATGGTATTGTGATATGTGACATTATTTTATTCTGCATATTTTCTACATTTCGCCGAGATGTCTGATAAAAATAAGTACAATAATAATATAAGGATTCAACAGCCCAAATTAGTTTATGATGGATATTATTTTCATTGCAATAAATCTTACGGAAACACAATGTAACGAAATATCTTGGAGTGACATTATTCATTTATATGAGTATAAATTGCAAAAAAAATATTTCATTATGTAGTATTTTCTTAATCAAATAATAATTTTTTTACTCTAATAATTTAATACTTCTTTAACTATATACTATTTGCCTCCCAGATAACAGATTCAAGTTATATTTACGTCATTTTCAGGTCATTTACTAATTAAAAATAACTAAAAAAGTGACTAATAAATGCCGCGAAATAGACGTCATAATTTCGGTCGAACATCACATATCAATGACTACATTTCAAGACGTTTTAATGACATTTGTACGATGTCTTAGACAACTACAAACCAGACATTTTAAGGATATCATAATTGACGTTATTTGATATCATTAAATCAGTCTTGATTAATTTTTGACGTCAAAATGACGTGAATCTGTTATTTGGGTATTATACTTCTCTTTAGGCAGTTATTATTTTTTGATAATTTATCTTTATTTTCATGTAATTCTTTGTATAGTTTTGTACAAATTAATAAGACAACTTTTTTATTTATTTAAATAATTAGCATAGAAGTTTACAAGGTTGAATTTGATGTATTTAATTATGAATATTTTTCTCACAGGTATTATGAGTGCAGTTTACGTAAAAATAAAAAAATTAAATGTACAACACGCTTAAAAATAAAAAATGGCAACTACGTTTTAAATGGAAACCATAACCATAATAAATATGTTTTTAAATTATCAAACATTAAAAAGGAAATAGAAGCGTCACATCACTTTCAATCTACTAGAATAATAAGAAACACAATTATTTCAAAGTGAGTGCAAAACAATGAAACAGAAAATATTAAATACTATTAAGAAGAAAATTACATACAATTTTTAATTGGTAATTTTTGCATTAATGTTTAGGTACGATAATTTGCTAGATTTTACGAACATTAGAAATGTCGAACGATCTATTGAACGTTCTAAAAAGAAGAAAGGTTTTGGACGGACTCCACAAAATTTAAATGATCTGAACATTAGTTTAAAAAATAAAAAATGGCAGCAGTTATTACAAATAAACGAAACACATTCATTCATTATAGAATCAGTGATTGAAAATAATGATACGGTCATTTTTATTGATAAATATATGACTGAAAATATAAAAAAATTAACGAATAATAATTTAACTATTTTTTGTGATGGTACCTTTGCTACGGTGCCTCAATTAAGTAATAATAATTGTCAGTTGTGGATAATTGTTATTAGATATAATAACAGAGTAAGTAAAAGAATTCATTACTGTATTAATTAAATAATAAATAGTTTATATAATTGAAAGAGACACTAAATATAAATATATGAATAATTTCAATTTTTATGAAATTTCAGACATTTCCTATTGTGTATACAATAATGGAAGGTTGTACAAAAAAAAATTATTTAGAAATTTTAAGAAAAGTCAATAATATTATCTAAATAAGACCAGAAACAATATTAACCGATTTTGAGAGAGCTGAGCAAAATGCGTTCAAGACAGCATTCCCCAACACAAAAATCATTGGTTGCTTTTTCCACTATAGCCAAGTAATAAAAGATAACAATGCACATAATAAGAAACATGAAATGCATGTTAATTTTCCTTATATTGCTTTCTTTTTGCAGGCGTTAGTACGCAATGCAAAAATATATAAAATTTTAAAGAGTGACAGACAAGAATTAGGATAGAATGCGACAAAATTATTAATATCTTTAGCATTGTTACCCGAATTATACATAGAAGAAGGTTTTAATATAATCACCAAAGTTATTTTTGATAAATGTACATATTTAGAAACATTTTTTAATTATTACAAACATGGATCAACAATTTTAAAACATGTTCGCTCTGCGTATATAAACAATTACACAGAACAAACAATATAAACGAACGACATAACAGAGAATTGAAGGAAAGTTTACGTAAACATTTAACAATACTCACATTTTTAGGTATAAGAGCTCTATTGTAGTTATTTCTAGAATATTTTTATCGTTCTTACAATAGAATATTATTTACAGCAAATTTAACAGAACACCAAAAAAGTATTCACTGCATGATGAGGCATCCAACATTTTGGATGAGGTCAGACTTAAACTGCTCCTTAAAAAAAAAGAAGAAGAAATACAAAAGATTTGGAAAAAAATTGAG